TTATATTATATAAAATCTGATATATTTTACATATTATACATTTAAATTTGACATGCACATTTCAGAATAAGTATGTTAATTTTTACATAAATATGAATGACGGTGGAACATTATTTCACTCATATTTTGTCATTTTATTTGAAACATCGAAATAGATACTTTACTTGCATTAAATATGCTTTATGTATTAAAACACTATGTAAAAAAAACACTATGAATATTTACATTTAAAAATTTAATTTGATGCAGACACCAATATGGCACGTCTTGTCTTTGACCCGTTATGTATATGTAATAAACATGCAATGACTTAATGTAATAAATAAAATAACATGCAATAACATTTTGGTCCCAATATACTTTTATAAACATATTTCTACATTTATTATTATTACTAATATTTTAGAGAACCCAGTTGCAGGTTGATGTCTATAAAATCTGATGCAAACCAGTTGAGAACCACGTTTGCAGACAAAGCGATCCATTTGTGAATGGAAGTCACTACAGAGACATGCCACTGATGGCAGAACAGACTGTCACACTGTCAGACATAAGGGAAGCTCGGCCAATACACCAGCAGATTTCTCAATTAGCTTGTGGCCTTGAAAAAAGGAGGATTGAGTTTCTAAATGCCTCTGTTAGCATCAGAGATACTGCAGTTTTGTCAAGGGGCTTGTCTAGGCATGCGGTATGGCTAAAGAGCCATTGATTCTGCTTCATCAAAAAGCAATTACAACATTTGGGATGCAGTGATTTAAGAAAAAAGATGTAGCTCGATGCATTAGAACACCTCGCAACACTCGTGCTCATGTCAATATACAGTGATAAAATATGCTCCCTATATTTAGACTGACGCTCCTCCTTTCTAATTATTCGGGCAAATATTCACTGAAAATTGAGCCAGGCTTATGAAATTGTTTCAATGGCTGACTGTAACACCATTTGCCTGGCTAGAGTATGTTCCAATCTGTTTTGTTCAATAATTACGCAGCGTTTTTTGTCATTCTGTTCTCACAGCTCAGCCATTTGCTGCCCTCCTCAGCTTGACAGTAACAGATGTGAAAATTGCATTGACTATCATTGTAAACAACAGCTGATACCAGTTGAGAAGCCGTTAGATATGGAAGAAGGATATTTGTTTCAAATTAGTTTGTCCACAAACCTCTTCTGCGTCGCCCGATGCCACCGGCACCAGATACAAATAGCATATTTCGCTCATTCACTGACAGATGAAATCGCAGTATTTAGCTGTTATTCAGCTAATTATAGCAAACAATGCTATAAACTATTTTCTTTTGAAGCACTTGATATAAGGGACTGCAATAAATGAACTTTGCATATGGCTATTTATTAGACAAACGCTAATTCTGACCTTTGCATAGCAGTCAAACATAATTATGCAAACTTGTGTGCATACGCACATGGCTCGGAGCAATGCATAGGGATAGTCGCATTAATTTCATACAAAGCTGCCGCCTATGATTAGGTGCCTTTCACCTAGACTGTCTGTTTAATAAATCTTATTTTAAATTACTTCTGACATGCACATGTTAGGAGAAGCAACAACTGTAACCTTTGGTTCTCTTCTCAAGAACTCCTCAGAGGTCTGGACACAAAGAAAAGAGATTCATCACAAACCTCTTTTGTCCCTCGTTTCAGCATGGAATATTAAATAAATCTTTGTTAGAGAAATCAGCAGGGTGACTTGAACCATTTCAATGACATTTACAAATAATTCAGCGATGCCAAGGTTTGGTGTCGGGTCGAATTCAGCATATAAACAAGATTTTTTTTTTCAATCCTGACTAATGGTTTCCTTTAACATTAATGTAGAAATTATAATTTTTACAGCTGTTGGTTTAGCTACTGAAAATAAAAGCCTTGAACATTTCCCTGTGTCATCTAGAATAATGTCAGTCAGAATGCCTCAGCAATATTTTGAGTCTTCATTACTTGGTGTGCACACGTCCGTCCGCACTTGTCACATTCGATGCCATGTGAGTTAGCTTCTTCTCTGTTGAGTAATGCATTAAGTTATTGGCCCTGACAGAATTTGTATACATATATTTTAGCATATCCCTGGCTGAAAACATCAACATGTGCTGCAAATATATCAGCATAACAGATCTTCTTGTAGGCAGTTCTTTGTTTTCAAGATGTAAATGTTTGCCTCTTCATATTAGTATTTTGCTTTCCCCACTGAGAATAGACCTATTAAAAAATATATATAATTAAATTTTTTTTATATTTATTTGTATATTTATCTGGAAATGTATTTGAATACTTGAAACTGCTGTTAGATACCTGAACAACTTAAAGCTTTCTTTGCTTCTTCAGTCTTTTTAAATTTTTTTTATTTGGTACTTCCTTTAAGAAAATGTGAAGGCTATATTCCATTTTAATTGAATTTGTTATTATTTATATTAATACTTTAACTTTTGGTCAGTAGCATATTTTTTTGCTGTGTTACCAAGAAGTGTAAAATTTTGCTGGTATTGGTGGCGACAATTTAAAAAAAATGTTTGAGGCTATTTGTTACTTGCACATATGTGTGTTCCTTACCAAAGTCATGCACCCTCTGCAGACTTGCAGGTGTGGGTATTTCCCATCCAATGCAATTTTCACTCAAGATAAATCACCAGACAGTGAAAAAAGAACAGATTCAAGTGTTCAGTGACATCAGAGAATGAAGAAAATGTTACTTTTAAACTAAAAAAAATTTCACCAAAGAATTTACACTTACAAATGTTCAAATTTGACAGATGCATTTATCCAGTTCATTGCTTTCCCTTGGCACTGCTAGCACCATGCTCTACTGTATAGGGAGGCCATAAGAAACATCCCCCTAATTAAGTCAGAAGAACATTTGGTTGTCATTTTTAGAGATTACATTTGATTTTCCGTAACACTGTGTAGGCAGTGCTTATTGGGATGTCTTGCCAAACCAAACTGAAACTGTCATGTGGTGCTCTATTAAAAAAGTGTGCTGCAAATATAACTAAAAAAATAACTGCAGACTTATTCCAGATGTAAATTGCCTAAGCATTTAGAAGAAATTGTTCACAAGGTTAATGCCACAATTGTGCTTTTTGATTACCTATAAATAGTGCAAATCTTAAATATTTCTTAGTTTTATGTTATAACTTTACATTTGACATTTTTAAGAAATCCCAGATTTTCCATGTGGTGTCAGATGTTTGGATCCCAATGTAAAGGTTGTATCTGCATGTATGTAGATTGAAAGGTAAATATTTAACTGCTGTACACATTGATCATGCATTTCTGCTGATGCCAGTCAGTTGCTCATGAAGTTGAACCAATGAACTAAACATGCAAAGGACAGCAGCCATCATATTCACTCACTGAATGGCAGCATTGCGTGACCTGTCAGGCAGTAAGAGCTGCTTTACAGGGATTCTTTCAGCCTGTCGCTATTCCTCTGACCTGCAAAATTCTTGTATGAAAAGCAAGACCACTTGCTACCCAGAGGCAGTTCTAGCATGCATATTAATCTATATATAGCTTTACAGTAGTATGCAATATTTATTCCAGTATTTAATTTTATGTTTTACATTTATATTCCTGAATTAGATTTCATGCATGATTTGATTTGATTGATAAATGATTGTATGTATGAGACATTTGAAACTGTGGCATAATGCTTAAGTTAAATTTAAGGCAAAATTGGGCCATTATAGATAGCATTCAGCGTTATGTCTACCTCAAAACAACTGTAAAAACAAATTATATTTGTTTTTGTAAAAATGAATTTTTACATTCTCAATAAATGTTACTAGCCAATATCAAGGTGGACGATGATCGACCTGCAGTCTGTTTGGATTTTGAAAGAGCCTCTTGTTTGTTTATTGTTTTGACTGATATTTTGTTGTCCTCTGCGCAGATGAATTTATGATCCCTTTTAATGGAGCCATACCGCTGGTATTATGTCTGCAGAGAGTGGGCTTAAAAGCCAGAGTAGGCTCACAATAGCCAAGTTAATAAACTTGTATAAATTACATTCTTGGTGGTGCAAGCCATCCATTATGTTGTGTCTGACATTAGCTTAATGTATTCCGAGCATCACCAGCGATCCGTTTTATGGTGATTGCTTAAATTTCACATCACGCCTGATTTTTGTGTCTCTTGTTCGGTGTAGCCTGTGTACGAATTCTCAACACAATTCAGTCGGGGAGACCCTTAAGGGGTTAGTTTACTCGTTTTCTTTCATAATTTACTCACTCTCATGTCCTCATTTTTTCCCTCATAACTCAGAGGATGACATTTTGAAGGGCCTAAGTCTATTGGGTTGTTTTGAATTATTCAAAAACACCATAAAAGTGTCATAAAAGTAGTCCAAATGAATTTTGTGTTGCAAGCTTAACTGTGTGACAAGCGCGCTGATAATCTGATATTCTTCCACTTTAGTTGACAACTTTGAGTCAAATGAGCTGAGGTCAAGAATCTGGATCATTCAGAACAGTTGTATGAAGGGAATCAGATGGTTAATTGAAAAGATCCGACTCAAAATAATAATTCACTCACAAGTTTCTCATGAACTCTAGTAAACATGCCAAAGAGAGCTATAGCAGATTTCAATGCCAAGATATTCTTCAGAAATGCACTTTTTGAATTCCACTGAAAAAAAACAAAGCTCATGAGGGTGAGTAAATAATGCAGAAAATTTCACTTGAAGTGAGCTATTCCTTTAAGAGACTCTCATCTCATTGGGGTTCCTATAAACTAGTCCGTGATAGTGTGGTAGTTGTTGACCAGCTTGTTGTTGCTTTCCACACATCTTATTTCTGAATGGACTGCGCTCATCCCCGCGGTCTTGAGTGTGCCACCTGTGGCTGTGTAAGAGAGAGCTTGGTAGGGGATGTAGCCTGGGATGATGGAGCATGTTATAATCTGTCAGAGGTGAGCTCAGAAGCAGCAGGGTGTTTTGGGAGTTGTGTACTTCAGTGCCTGAATGGGATTTATGTTTCTGTCTCCTCCTATAGATTCCCCAGGTGAGTTATGCCTCCACGGCTCCTGAGCTGAGCGACAACACCCGTTATGACTTCTTCTCCCGCGTGGTACCGCCGGACACCTATCAGGCACAGGCTATGGTGGATATAGTCAGGGCCATGCGCTGGAATTACGTCTCCACAGTGGCGTCGGAGGGGAATTACGGAGAGAGCGGCGTAGACGCATTCATCCAGAAATCTCGGGAAGAGGGTAAGAGTGTGTTTGCATTCACTTTGGGGATATCTTTGAAATTTGATAGTCTTACTTAGCCCAAATTTCATCATGCAGCACAGCCTGGTCTTCACTGTAGCTTTTTATGGCCAAGAATTGCCCACTCAGACAATGAACTGACTGGGAAAAAAAAGCAACCAACCACAGTATTTGCAAATTAGCGCTAGTATTCCCTTGTGAAAAGAAGTGTGCATAATTGTATTGAATGTGCAGTTGTAGTGTACTTCAATTCTTAAAAGTATACATATTCCAAATTTGCACATTCATCATTACCATTGTGCACTTACAAATATATTTAAATACATGACATAAAAGTTTCAACAGAGAAGAAAGTTTACCATAAATGTTTGTCAGTATATTTGTAAAATCAATAAGTAATAACACATGGATAATAGAAATCACTTTGAAATTACAAATGTGCTCAACTCCTACTTAAATGACTCAAAACCCCCACACACATTAAAGCTAATTGCATTTGTTTAAACTATTATTAAGAAATGCATTTAATCACAATTAACATGCAATTCAGTGTTCAAAAACATTACATTCAGTACTATATCCTTTTAAAGTGTATTATTTCTGTAATAAGTACTCTTTTTAAAAATATGCTAAAGTGTACTTCTTCATTACAGTGGTTTCCTTTAGAAAATGCAAATCTAGTAGTTTTTGTTTTTCTTCTCCACAGTTTTCTGCAATTAACTGAAACTCAAACTTAATGTATATTCCCCGTCCGCTTTTGCATAATTAATTGCAATGGACTTCTTTCTGGCACCTGTCTATGCGTCTGTATTGCATATTGCTATTGATCTCTCTTCCTTTCTTCCTCTATCAAATTTTAGTTTATGACATTTTACCCTAAAACTTTAACGCTATTCTATTGCCTTGAAAACATTGATATTTGTTTCCGCAAATGCACATCTAGTTGTTTTGTGAAATGAATCCCATACTTTAAGCTTATCAAAAGCAGCAATATTTTCCAAAGCTTTTCCTTCCCAACTGCATTTCCTTCCTGAGAAATGAAACTTCAAGTGCACTCCAGGGGGAAAGTGGTCTTGCGATTTGTGCGAGGAATACTGAGTTCAGACATTGATTTCCTTCTAAATTTCTTTCCAAGTCTGTTACTATAACTAGTGCTTCAAGTTAAGCTTAGCTGACAGGCTGGAACCAACATGTGGCCCCTGGGCGGAGGGTCCCAGGTTTTTGTTACTGGGAAATATCTACAGAACTTTTGCATTGCACATAGATCAGGAAAAGAGATTTTAATGCACTCAGTCTAATTTGTTATACATTTAGATGCTACATTAAATATTTAATATAGAATTTGTCATTCATCACATTATACAGTTATTTGGATCTTAAAAAGTTTTTTATAACCCTCAAGCATTGGTGGATGCAAACAGATGGAAGCTAAAATTGTTCTAGTCAAGTTCTATGAATAGTCTTTGTGAGCATACTCAAAACCGCCTAGAGGAAGTTCTGAGGGAGATGGAGTCATACTCCTTTCTTTTCTCTAGGGTAACAGTGTCCTCCTCACGTGTCCATGGTTTCTCCTATGCATTGAGGCTATCAACATCTGTTCCTCTCCCATATTCTATGTTGAGATCTGGCTGTTCCTCATGAATGGAGAATCAGGGTGCTTTAACACTCTGCTTGGTGTGATAGCGAACTCTTGAAAAGTACATCTGAGGTGTGGTTCTTGTGAACTCATGGTTCAGAGTTGAAATAAATTGCGGAAGTGAACCGCTGTTGATGACGAGTAGTTGCCACCTTTGCATGCTTCCAGTCACACTTACTGTAGAACATTTCTTTCAGGATCCGTTGTAGAAAAATCCCACTTACCTTCTTCTAACAGGCACAACAGGGCTCAAAAACGTGTGTCCAAACACATTTTGCATGACTGTGGATGTGCAGTGCATAATGGATTAACTCATTAATGCATATGTTAGTTAAATAACGTGATCCAGAAAATCTTTGTTCTCAGAGCTGCTCTGGTGCTTCAGAATGGAGAACAAGTTTCATATGAATTGCGTAGTTGCCTTTGTTCCGAAGAATGATCCCTAAGTGTAGGACCTTCAATTACAGTGGGAGCCAAATGTCTGAGACTTTTATTTATTTAGTTGTACTTTTATTTGTTTGTTTGTATGCATAATAAATTAGCTGAAACATTGAATTGAAATATGATTTTCAGAATAATATTTTTGAGGTTGTATTTTATTTGATTTCAAATCTGATTAGTAGCCTAGACATTGTACAGAATATCATCTTTATTTACCTTATTTTACACCATAATGTGTTTTCAATTCAAAATTCTAACAGTTTTTCCATGTTTAAATAAAATAAATCCTTTATTTTTTTTTTTACATGGTCTCAGACTTTTGGGCTGCACTGTAGATGTTTATGAATTATGTTTGTGTAGCATTGGAGTAATTCCTTCATAATTCATGGCAACAAATGAATAAATAACGCAGATGAGACAGAGCAGTGGTGTACCACAGAGAGCGAAGGGACTGAGCATGGTATCCTGCACCTCGTAGAATCTCTGCATATGCGTGATAGGCTGATAAATAATGCTTACTTATTGTAATATAATATGTGATGTACAGCACACATAATTCTCTCAGATATTCATAGCTGACTGGAATGAAATGGGGACAGATTCTGTGGGTAAAGTGCAGTGATGTGTGTTGATCTTCTGAAATGAAGAGACAAACAGTTTTTTCAGCATTTTAGGTTGACTTTTAGTTCAGTGTGAATTAATGTTGCATTTAATGTTTGCACAGTGACTGGATTGAAGCATACTGTATGGAACACCATTTACTTCACACTATCAACAAGTAAACAAATGCTATAATATATTTATGATTGTGTTAAAAAAATTCAACATTTTTAAACATTTTTGACATTGCTACAAAAAGAATAACTGCAATAATAGAGAAAAATTAATATTTTTACCATTGATTATTCTCTCTCTGTGTTTTTTTTTTGTGCGCAGAGGCACTGCCTCTCTATTCTCCTCAGAGAAAACGCCCCCAGTAAAGAGACCCTGTTATATTGAGGGTCTGTAGGCTATGGATGTTTGATTACGGTGACCATATCCTAACCTTAGCCCATACATTTTTAAATGATGGACATGAAGAGCCGCCTCTTTGGCACATAATGTTTGATCGTCTTATGATTTTTTCGTCATTCCCTGCAGACTCAAGCATACCTATGGAGCGTAAGACAGGGCTCTTCAATTCCAGGCCCGAAGGCATTCCCGACTTCATTTTGTGTGTGTGTGTGTCTGTGTTTCTGCCCTGACCAACACATGATTCAATTCAGTGCTGCCTCCAGGGAAAAAGCAGAAAAACATTATGTTTGTGAATCGCCTCACTGTTTTTCTCCTCTGTCTTTCATGGCGTTTTCAAACAAGGGCTTCGTGACATCTTAACCCTGTATCGATATCAGTTATTTGCTTGTAATGTCTGTAACCGAGTGTGTGTTATCTAATACCGCAGTAGGTTCGCGGTAATCAAATTGAACAAGTTTGCGTGCGATAAGTACTCTACCGCAAATGATCATCCGAGGCATTGAGGAAAACATGCTGCACCGGTTCTCTTTGTTGACTCTCCTTCAAGCAGAACCTCATTCGATATTTTCAATATCTTCTGGGTTCCAGTAATGGGCCAAATTTATAATGCGCTTGCTGCTGAGGGACCTTGAAGGGTCGAATTCTGAAATGAAGGAATAGATTTGGTGAGTTTTGAAAGGTGACTGCCACTAGCATACATCACCATGGAAAATGGTCACCCAGTGGTACCGTGGAGTTGACTTGGGCCACCGCTGAGTGATGAGCAATCTTCAGCCGCAGCATGGCACAATAACAAAGTAAACAGCCTACGCTGCTCTCAGCATACATAAATCTCCAATATTTGATAAATAAGATTTGCCTGCTGTAATTGATTCCATGTGGAGATCCAAATAGAAACCTCGGAGGCCCTGGTAAATCTAATCAAGAGGGAGGTTAGTCATATGGTGAGTTACCTAAGGCTTTGTAATAATGGATCAACGATTATAACCTTCATAATTACTGGAAACAAACATGCAGATTATTATATATAACGCACGAGATTCGGTCTGACGTTTGCTTTGCTTTGTGATTCCTCTCCGACAGTCTGCTCTCAAAAACCATGCGTGCCTGATTCTGGGTGAGGTGCAAATGCAGCATGGATTTTGTTGATAAAAGTGCCCCGCTAAAAGGGATTTTTGAAATATATATCTAAGTTAGATATCCCAGTTGACGCTGTGGATTGCTGGGGTTCTTTATCATGTTGAAGTCTGTGGGAGTTCTTGAGGAAAACATGACAGACATCCACTCACTCGTGAAAATGTGATGCTGCCGTCCCTTTTTAAATCGAACACGGTAAACCCAGACAGAGGCATAAAAACAAAGCCAAAACTTTTGCTTCAAGAGAGAAGACAACTTTTTTTTCCCTCTCTTGTGTGCTACTTCAGAAATGTGTAGAATAATGGATCAGCTTCCTTTTCTCAAGTGAATATAGAAATTGCAACAATAGAAAATCTTTATGACTGGATATGCGCTATTTAAATAAATGGTTCATGAAGAAATGAAACTTTTCGTCATTTACTCATCTTTAATGAGACTTTCAGTGAATGAGAACTTTCATTTCAGTGTTTCTCACACAAAGGCTTCGGGTAACTTGAAATATAGCACATGACTCATATACAGTAGACCAATTTTATGATACCTTTAGGGTGATTTCTTGTCCTTCCTTATGCTTCAGTCCATGTTTATTATAATTGAATAGAAAACAGCCACCTGAACATTGTTCAGAATTCTTTTTTTCCCACAGAAGATAGACAGTCATAAAGTTAGAAATGACATGAGGGAGAGTAAATGATGACAGAATATTTATGTCTTGGGTGAACTGTCCCTTTAATTGTTACTGAAGACAGGCTGCTAAAACATCTGGATGCTTTGTTAGTATCTTCTCTTTAGCTTTTTTCACAAAGTCTGGAAAGGATAATTAAGTCTGCCACAAATCAGAGGATCAACTTCTGACATCCTGTCACTTTGGTCTCACTCAGGGCTTGACTCTGAATGTGTCATTGCTATTAATAGAACCTTTTCACAACATTAGGTCGTGGCTCTTTTTCCTTGTGTATTTCCCTAAAGACCCTTATGAAATGTTTCGACATGCAATTTTCCTGCGCTGTTGTATTTATTTTTGGCAATAAGAAGTTATTTTATTTTATTTATTTTATTATCAATTGCCATCATGGAGAAATATTCCTTTTTTAATCTAGATCTGCGAGCGAGCTGATGTTAACCAGTCAAACCCTGACCACTGGGTATAATAAAGATCCCCATTCTAAAGAACATTCTATCTCGAATTACATTATCAAATTATTGTTACTTCTACATGAATTGGAAGTTTCACAATACATTGTGCATGTCATTCATTTCTATGGACACAGTGGACAGAAAGAGCTCCTTTCAAAAATCTGTTTTAGATATTGGTTCCAAAAAAGCAGTAAATAATTAGAAAACTGACCAACCCACACAAAGAACTCTTATAACTCAGTCAGTTTCTCCATCTTGTCAGTACCCATCTGTTCTCAGATCACCCCTCCTGCTGTTCATTATTTTTGATTAAGCATCAAATATGACCCTGCTGGAAATGCTTGTGCATATATTGGTCAATTTGCACAAGCCATGCTTACAGGAATGCATCAAAACACCATTTGTTCCTTTTAGAAAGCCATTTATTCCCATTAAAATAAATATGCTAAATTTCATTAACGTAGAATTCTGTTACAACAGCTTGGCAACCAGAACCAAACTGACACTGCAACCAGTGGTGTGAGCTTGGGACAGGGTGACCAGTGGCAAATGGGTTTAGGAAACCTGTTTGGAAACAATAATTACTTTTGCAATTTTCTGTCTGTCTTTATTTTTTGCAATTCTGTTGGCTAGCAATTTAACAAACTATTTACATGTTTTAACTACTGTAAAATACTGTCTGTAAAATATATTAAAACAGAAAATAGTTTCATACACACCCACCCAAGTCACTGTGACTTTGCTTCATAGCTGTCTCATTCAGTGACATGTGGAGTTCTTACCTTGAGGCCTTCAGTCATTCAAAATATCTCCTGACTCAAAAAGTAGCATATGCACACAGCAGAGGGCTGCAAGTGACTGCAAGACTCCCGCCGTTAGGAAGCCTCTCCATATGGCATCTTTGAGGGTTCTCTTTTCTGTCTAATTAACGCCTTTAATGCAAATCAGTGTTCCTCTCTCAGCGATCACAGGTCAAACGCTTTTAAAATGCCCTCTCCTTGGAACGGCAACCATCGGCTTGTGTGGAAGTTTACAAGGACTCTGTGTTTTCTCGGAAAGGATGTGAGAAGTTTAATGAGCTTATTATTATGCGTTCGCCCTCTCCTTGGAACGGCAACCATCGGCTTGTGTGGAAGTTTACAAGGACTCTGTGTTTCCTCGGAAAGGATGTGAGAAGTTTAATGAGCTTATTATTATGCGTTTTTTTTTTTGCAGTTAATCTGCATATGACTATTTGCTGATATGACAGGAGGTTAATTCAAGGCATCTGTGAAAGGAAGATAGATATGTAACGGTTGGAGATTGCGAAGATGAGACTTTCTACAACAAAAGATTACAACAAAAGAGTTAGGGCATTTGTTAAACATACAGTAACATACATGATAACAAAACAAAAAAATTGATAATGAGGACTGATGCAGTTTAAGAACCCAGCAGAGCAAAACTTTTACACACTGGGGTTCCAAAGCTAAACAATGAAGTTTCTCTGTAACATCCAGATTTTTCTACCGTTAAGAAGATGGAAAACTCATTTTATTCATTTGATTTTGCTCTTTTGCTATTCAGGACTGTTGAAGGTACTTGTTGTCAAGTGGGATTTTGGTGAGAGAAGCCAATAATCTGGTGAGAATTCAGATACCTGAGGCAAGATAGTACATGACCAAAACAGCATAATTACCCATGTTGACATCCTTTTTTAAAAAAAATAGTTTTATATATAGAGGGAAACAACAACATACAGGATATAAGACACATTTACATATTTATTTAAAGCAACTATTCTATTGCATGTAGGAATTTTTAAATCAGTTTTATGCATTCTCATCGTGCTTTACTGTTTGAGCTACGTTACGCAGGGTTAAAAAAATTATATTTATAATAAAAAAATTAAATTATATATATATATATATATATATATCATGCATGTATCAGATATATGTTACTTAGTATAATGAACTTAATTTATTTATTTATTTATTTTTTACTCAGAATCTTGTTCTAGGTATTAAAATGTGATTCTTGGTCTGGATGTGGTCTCAGCGTATGTTCTCTGAAAGGCTTAAAAGGTGATAATTACCTCCAGCACAGGTGGCTACGATATCTTGACCATTGCAGACAATTCCACAGCTCTAAATAGCTACTTAGCCACTATACAAAGTGACTTAGTGACTGAATGCTGCAATAAATTCAGTATCTTCTATTTTTCAGCTCCCTTGGACCAGCAGGTCTTGGCCTTGGTCTTAGGGGGTCTGGTATTGATCTCAGTCGACTGTGGAGAGAAAATGATGAGGATAAAGCAAGCCATTTGACTTCAACGTAGAGTACAAACACTGTGGTGCATTTAAAACTTTGTTCTGTTCGAGTGCACTGTAAAAAAAAAATGTTTTGTCAAGTAACCGAAAAATGTGGTAACTGGATTTATTCAAGGCAAAAATATGATTTAATATATCTGAATAGACCTGACTACACTAGGTCACACCAACAAAAGTCATTTTTAAAGGTCAGATGAGGTAGAAATAGCTCCTTATGATAACAGTTGCATATTTTTACAGCATATATTTGAGCTGTCAAACATAGCAACGTCTCCCTCATCCAGTGCACGAGTGAGTTTGAACAGGACTACTCATAATAAGCTGTTCAGCGGGGAATTTTTCAATGTGCGATTCCATATTTTGCAACTAGTAATAATGCCACTTTTTCTTTTTTCCCCCCACAGGAAGTGTGTGTATCTCACAGTCGGTGAAAATCCCCCGTGAGCCGAAACCAGGGGAGTTTGATAAGATAATTCATAGACTGGGAGAAAATCCGAATGCGAGGGTTGTTATTATATTTGCAAATGAGGACGATATAAGGTGAGTAGCTTTTCTTGTTTTTAAATTAGCATCTATCTTGTAGAATTATATAGTATAAGTTCTTTTATTTTAGCTACGGTGAAGCAGTTAAACTTATTTCTGCTATTAATCCATTTGTGCAGAGTTACAAAGTTAATAAAACAAACACCAAAATGGGTATTGCTTTCTAAAATAACATCTGAAATACACAACAAGGACTTTGCAGGGAGGTGAACAACTCATTTCCCTGACCTCTGTTATAACACGTTTAATTTGCCCCATGGGAACGTCTGAACGCCCCAGCACTGAGCACCTGGAGTACCTAATCAGAACTATTAGAACCCAGCTGTTCTCATGAAAATTGACAAAAAGCATTCACTTAAATGTGCTATTAGACATTCACTGAATAATAATAGTTTTAATTTGAAGGAATAATTATGGTCAAACTTTTTCAATTTGTTGCTTGCTTAAGCGTTCAGGATGACTGTTTAATCGTGCTTCTCTAATTATTGTTTGTCAGTTGTTGTCCTTGAGTTCATAATGGCTTGTTTATCCATGTTCACATCGATGCACCTGTAATTCAGAAAGTATGCTTTTCTAATAAAAAACGTCTTGATAACATGAATATGAAATCAAAATCGACCCTGTGTACTTTAATACATATTCTTGAATTTATTGTGGATGCAAGTAATAACTTGTTTTAAGTTTCTTTTTCAGCTGATGTCACCTTGACCATGTAGATTGTTGATTAATATTAACCAATAGCCAAATAGATATTTGCATTTTTGTAGTTAATGCTTCATTTTGCAAGTAAAATTAGTTGTGAATGCCGTTTCATGTTTAATGTAGGTAAATAAATTGCAGTGAGGGTGTAGCTGCCAAAGATGTGGGCGAATTTTTATTCAGTTATTAAAAATATTGATAAGTTACTGGCATATAAGCCCAGAAAATGAATTCCACGGCTTACGGAAAGACACTGAGAGTGAAGTCTGTTTCTGTTTAAAAGACAGAAAATGATTTTGTGTGCGCTGCCTGAAACATACTTTATTGAGCCATTATTATCTTGGGGAAATGCTTTTGCTGTCAGTTGTGCATGACTAATTTTGACATCAATTGCTACCGTGCCTGACGGAGAATGCTTAGAAATTTCAGCGCTGGGCAGTGTCAATACTGACCTTTCAATAACATATTGATTTGCAGTTACTGTAAATGGAGAATCACCAAAGCACCACAGAATGCAGACAATAATTGCAAACAAGTAATTAGAGTTGATGTGACTCAGAGCCTGGGAGCAAAGCCTATATTCAACATTTTATGGAAACTGCCACTCATCTTTTAACAGGAGGCTACTGCAGGCGGCAAAAAAAGCCAATCAGACGGGTCACTTCCTGTGGGTGGGGTCAGATAGCTGGGGCTCGAAGATATCGCCAGTGCTTCACCAGGAGGAAATGGCCGAGGGAGCTGTCACCATCCTACCCAAGCGACAGAACATCAGAGGCAAGTGACAGATTAAATCCTCCACTTGTCAGTGGCTGCTCTCATCCATTAGAGACCAGTTCTGAACTGGAGTGTGTGCTTAATGTTTTCTGACAACACTTTAGCTACTGGTGATGAATTTAATAAGCGTAACAAGTTACGGTGCATGCATAGTGTTAAAAGAATAGTTCACTCAAAAACAAAAAATCCCCCAAATGCGTTTTTCTTTGGAACACAAAAAGAAGACTTTGAAGCATCTTTATGCAGACAAGCCTGTTAAGTTCCATATGCACAGTTCCACAGTAGAAGTGGTCAGTGTGTTTTTATTCACACTTTTTACAGTGTGTCTTCCTAAGCCATGTAAAGGTTTTTAGTTTACAAGTAAACTCCACAGACTAGGCTTTTACTAAGTTTTATTTAACAGCCTGTGAAAAAAAAGAAGGAAAAAAAGAGATTTAATTCCACACAAAAAAGTTTTTTTTTTTAAATATAATTTAAAACATTAAAAAGCTAATTTACAACAAACATTGCATTTTAGTTTTTTTTTTCAATTATTATTTTTCCAAAGAATGTGCTACACATTATACAACATTTTTGTATAATAATAATAATAATAATAATAATAATAATAATAATAATAATAATAATAATGATAATAATAATAATAAATGTATTTAAACATTTTAAATACATTATATTTTATTATAAATACATGCATTACACATTATTATTATCATCATCATCATCATCATCATCATCATCATCATCATCATTATTATTATTGCGAATACAAAGATAAGTTTTTGTATTCAAACAGTATATTTGACAAAAAACGCAATGTTTTGTTGTAAATTAATTGTTAGATTTAGTATTTTGTTAAATCTGTTGTTAAATACAGCATAGAATAATAAAATAAAATAATTAATAATTTTAAATATACACATTACTACAACAACAACAACAACTACTACTACTACTACTACTCTAAGAATTACATTTTACTATACAATGGTAATTTATTGTAGTGTAAATAATGTAATTTATGTAAATTTCTTGATGTTAAACCAGACTTTTATTTTGGCAGATTGTCGTGGAGACCTTTTGAGTTTCAGTGCATTTGCCAATAGCTTTTATAAAATTAAAGGTATTTGCCGATACCTTTTTCAGCTATTTGTGGATAGCTGTTATAAAATGAAATGCTCATGAAGTGAGCTCTCAGAGTAGGTCTAGAGATGAAGTTCATGTGGAGAGTGAGACAGTAGAACCTGAAACACCATGAGCATCATGCATGCTTGAGAATATGTAGCGGATGAAACTGCACCACCCGCTCACACAGAGACACACAGAACATGCAAACTTAGCCTACATCTAGACGATCAGGTGAGTGGTGTTAAGTATTGATATGGTGGTTTTATTCTTTCCAGTTAATATCTATATTAATGTATTGTTCAGTTCTATATGTGTTCTATCTCATGACCAAAAATCATGATTTTTTTTATTTATTAAAATTGTTTGGTTCTTTTTGTAGCTGGACTGCTCCAAAACTATGAATTGTAACTAGGAACTGTTCTTCAAAAATTCTCCTTTTGTGTTCCACAGAAAAATGTCAACTAGTTTGAACTGACATGAGGATGAGCAAATGATGACAGATTATTCATTTTTTTGTGTGAACTATTCATAGCAAAAATAGAAGATTCTTGGTGAGACGAAAATGATGTTAGATGCAAATGTTCCGTCAAATCATGTTGCTCTCTGAAGTTCATTGGCTGAGAGCTTTGACTCTGACAGAGAGCATTAAAGTGACACAGATCTCATCGATCTACCCTCAGGCTTTGATCGCTACTTCACTAGCCGCACACTCGAGAACAACCGGAGGAATATCTGGTTTGCGGAGTTCTGGGAGAACAATTTCAACTGCAAGCTCAGCCGCCATGCCTTGAAGAAGGGATCCGGCGTTAAGAAATGCACAAGTAAGAATCTCTCCCTCACCCTCTGGCAACACTCCATTTCCAGAGCACCATAAAAGAGAGAAAGTGAGCAAAAAGAGAAGCCAAATCTATCGTAAAAGACTTGGCCTGCTGTTCTCAGATCGCCTGAAATGGGCTTTTGTTTACACCAGAGTCTGATTAGTCATACCACAGCAAAGCTGTTCTACGCCTGATGTTTTCTGATGCACAGCAGCAGCATCCCTGTGCTAAGCACACTGAACCAATACAATCCAGCCAATTGGATAAGAGATCATGATTTTAATTGATTCGAGGCTTCTCTCAGCCCCATCAGCTACGAGTCCAGCCCTGGTCAGAGCCCGTCCATTTGACTGTGGAGAAAGGTTGACTCCTAGCAACACATTTCAGGTTTCGTCCAATCAGTGCAGGTTGTGATCTTACGAGGAGGGGTTTCCGTCGGCAGACCTTCTTGAGGGTGGCTACGGTAGCGCATCTAATTCTCAGCATGTAGCCTACCAAGCATTACAGCGCTTACTGTACTGCACCAGTAAGCAGGGCAGGATATTAACCTCTCGCTTCAGTATCGGTGTGGTGACCTCCTACAGACGGCGGAAGTCAGATTATGTGCGACTGTGGCAAAGGGGCTCACTGTAACGTCTGCAGTGCGCTAAATGTCACCGTGCATAATCCCTGTCAGTGGGCTCGCTTGTAATGGCTGGCCTTTAGCGTGCTGCAAGAAGTATCTGGCCTGAAACAAAATCCATCGCTCCGCCACAACATAATAAATCACTTTTTCTTTATGCTAATTGCTGCGCCCACGAGAAAATTCATCATTGTTACCTCACATTCTTGAATAGCCATTGGTGATTAAATGCGGTGCTTCTATTCACTTGATTAAAAAATATGGTAGGCTGTTTTTGCGTGCGTGAATGAGATGCAAAACATGCCACTCAGGACAGCTTTTACTTTCTTTTATGGTAGTTTTGCAGTCAAATGTATTTCTCACATACTTTTGCTACACCCAGGGGCTCACATCTGAAATTTTGGCAGCTTAATCTATCTTTTAAAAATGCCATCAAAGGAAAAGTTAATTTACAACAAAGCACTGGATTTCTATTTTTTGTCAAATAAAAGTGCAGCATTACAGATTTTGTATATTGTCAGAATTAATACATGGAAGAAAAAAATATTGTTAAAATTATAATAACAATCATAGTAAATATTATTATCATGCATTTAATCATCATAAGTTAATATAATAACACATTATATTTCCTAGTATCTTCATGCAACACCTTTTCAGTGTATTATATATATATATATATATATATATATATATATATATATATATATATATATATAAACACTTTTTAGATTTTTATAAAATATAAAACACGTATTAGGCAGAAAAATGTGGTGCAATAATTGCATAAATACAGAAATATTGTATGTTTTTGTGTGTAAGTAAATATGCATTATGTAAATTACAAACAAATACTCATGAGACCCAATGAGATACAGTTAATAAAAACAAAGGATAATTTATAATTAAACAATAAAACAATAATGATTAGTTAATTATAGTAATTATATATCGACAATGAATGAAGAACTCGCTACATACTACATATGCCTATTACTGTAACTATGTAGAGACTACAATTTATACACTATAATTAACTACAGACTAAAAGTTTGCAAATGATTTAAAAATCCTTTATAACTGTATACTTATAAAGTATTATTATTGTTATTGCTGTTATTATTATTCTAACGAGTAACTTTCTCTTTATGCTAATTGCTTCGCCGACAATTCGTCATTGTTACCTAAAATGAAATGCTTCTATTCGCTTGATATTAAAAAAAAATATTGCAGGGTGTTTTTGTGTGCATGCATGAGATGCCCAACTCATCACAGCCTTTTTTCTCTTTTATGGTAGTTTTGTGTTCAAATGTATTTCTTGCATGCTTTTGCTACACCCAAGGGCTCACATCTGAAAACAGGAGATGTGATGGTGTATGCGAGCAGAACTGCACATGTGCTGTCATCAGGCTTGATTATTCATGTAAAGAACAATTCGGCATTTGCCATGCACATTGTAGCAGATTTATAATGCCACATGGGAAATGAAAATGGTGTTAGACTGTTTACACAGCTCTATTAGTTCATGAAAACGACCACACATTGAAATACAATGCAGCCTTAACTGGGTCGCATCCTCTAACAGCTTTGTCTCAAAGGGAGGATGTAATATTTGTCTGAAAGCACTGATTCAGAACCGGAGGCCACAACAACTGTGGCTTGCTAAACCTTTATCGTTCGCTGTGGAATCTGGAGTTAGCATAGCGACAGTCTCCCGGGTCTGGGTGTTTTCGATGCTGTAATAATTGCTGACCGAGATTAACAGTCAAGATCTGCATTTTTTTTTCTATTAAGGTTTAGCTTGCATGGTTGGATTGTTAAGATTAGACAAGGAGTTGTTTTGTAGTCTCCAAGCGAGCATGGCATAATTATTCGCACAAAATATTGTGTAGTGAAAATGCTAAATGTAAGTCTCCTAGTATGCTACACGTGCTGTCCATAGAAGACCTGTGCTTTCTGAGAAAATTCTGAGTCTGTTTCGCACGTTGTCATTGGCACAGTGAGGAGTTGTTGCTTTTTTTAGTCATCTAGACAGACTACAGTGTAAATATAGCCTCAGAGGGACAATGCTAATGCATGAGTCAACAGGCACCCACAGATTTGCCCAAATTCCAGCTGACATTTTCGATAATGACTAATGTGATGGAGGATCTGTGAAACATATTTGGGGTATGAATCAAAGCTTGATTTTGTGACATTTCTGCCTTTCATCCCTTTCATTAGCTGTGTGCTGGGTTTTACATACAAGATGCAAGGTATTATTTGCAGTATTTCATACCAGTGGCCTGGATTTCAGGAAAAAAGCCCCTTCTCTGCAATTCATTCATTCATTCATTAAATAATTAATTAGTTAATTCATGCATTTATGCATATGTGTATATATATATATATATATATATATATATATAAATAGGTGCATCACAATAAATTAGAATGTCATGGAAAAGTTCCTTTATTTCAGTAATTCAAATCAAATTGTGAAACTCGTGTATTAAA